ATCGTTGTTAGCGCATAACCAACCTCAATTTTCCGACATGTGCTTTTGCATTCGCGCGAAAACTACTCATCATCCTTATCACAATTCATTATTTATCACGCGGGTAAAAGTATAATCGAGCCCACGAAGCGACACACCCAAACAGAAATATATCTAGTCGACCTGAGTCAAAAGTTAGTAGCTAATTAGTAAACTGGACTAAATTTTCCAGCTTGTTACCAGCTAATTATTCATTAAAATGTAGAATCAGTTTTGTGACCTAACTGTTGTTTACATTACATGTCAAACATGAAGGAGTAGGTGGTGCTGTCGATTATAAAATATACAGAGTTTACCAAAGGTGTTACCAAAGGAAACCTCTTAATATTTCGAAAACCACGCATTTTCAAAAAATGTTCTATATAAAAATTGTAAGGTTTTAAAACTCGCATTATATAGCAATATTATGGTCAAATTTGCACCTCTTTTGTGTGTGTGTGTGTGTGAGTGAGTGAGTGAGTGAGTGAGTGTGAGTGTGTGTGAGTGTGTGTGTGTGTGTGTGTGTGTGTGTGTTAGCAGAGAAGTAATAAAATATATACTTATGTACACACATACATATACAAAAGAGGTATAAATCCGACCGTATTACCTCCACGCGATACACCTTGGATAATGCTAATGAGGGTGGTATTACTTTCAAGCTCCATAACTTGAAAACTTTATTTAATGAAATATACTTGATATTATAACATTTTGAAGAACTCTTGAGGTAAGCTACATGAATATGCAATGAATATGCAATAAATATGCAAAAGTGAGGGTTCCCATTAAAAAATTTCAAAATGATCTTTACGTGACTTTTACAGCGCTATTTAAAGTTATACCAATATTACCATGTAATGTGTTATCCTACAACAATATTTTATAAATCATTTTTTTCCAAAATGCGTAATTTTAGAAATATTAAGGGTTTCGACACTTTTGATAAACTCTATATAATCTAACTACTATAAACTCGCCACTAGCATTTAAAATGAGATAGCAAGTCAAAATTGAGAATATTCCATAAAAATCTGAAAAAAAGATAAAAATGAGCGTTATACTGCCACCTGGCAACTAGTTAATCTTTCGTTTAACCATTAGCTAACTTATTCATCTAACTACTAGGAGAAATAAGCGTTACATTACAGACTAGTAGCGATGTTAGACGCAAATTTACTACCTCGTGGCTCGACACTCAATGTTCAATTTCTATTAGGGCAGAACATAAAATTGACAAAGTCGTGAAGATACCGAATCAGACAACACAATGATCGCAAAAGCCTACGATCATCATTAATGTAATAAGCCTGGAGTATATAAAAAAACGTAAGCAGTAAGGCTTAAGCAGTAAGGAAATTGTCCAACCACAGTCCATTATTCTTAAATTACAAGGCGAATAGTCGATTGTAATTGGTCAATATATGTTTACCGCTTATGTTTTATTATTTATATTTTTCTACGTGCTTCAGGCTTTAGAATAGGCTCAGCCAGTTTCCAGCGTAAAACCCACGGAGTCCAAAGTTGCAACGCGCGCAACCGTGTATACAGAGTTAGAATACAAACAAACCATGTGCCCAATGAAAGGATGATGTGGTATCTATTTCTATCCTTCTATATGTAATCCATATATCTCATATGTTATCTATTATAAATACTCTTAATACACCGCTATAACAACAACAATTATGCATGGATTGCCTTCCCAAATATCACGAAAAATATATGTAAGTTCGGTCATTTTATAATAAATATATAATATTAATCTTGTTTCTTTACATTAGTACATATATTGTACGAACGATATTTTATTGTTTTCACATTCGATATCTCTATAAACAGTTCATAAAATTATTCCTATTTCAGTTATCAAAACCGCCATCCATACATGCTAATCTAAGTTTTAACGAATTAAGCCCGCGTCGTATCAGCTGATATGCTAGCCAGCGTGGTGGTTCGCATGTCTCTTTAACGCGAAAACAAGCATCGCGCAACGAGGTGCGAACTTAAGTCTCGGCATCCTCGAGTACGCGTCTCGGTGTCCACGCATCTATTCTACCCAGGACGCGAGATCTCCGCGCGGGAGAGTCTGGACGACTACGACCCTGACGGGTCCGGCGCGCGTCCGCGGTTTGGGACAGTCTGTGCTGCGCACAGAAACGTCGGTGGCCTGGTTGCTCTCACGGTACGGCTGCACGCATGCACGCACGCATGTACGCACAGGTACCCACGCGCGTCGTCGGCGCGCCGCCGCACCTCGTCGACGGCCACGTTGCGTACGCGACCCGTATTCCCTCTCTCCCTTCGGTATCTCAAGGTAGAAATGGGGCTCGCGCATGACCGTGAGTGAAGAGAAATTTTCGCGAATCGATAATACGCAACCAGCTGTAGCAGCGGCGGGTTAGTCACGCGGACAGCTTGCCCGTCTCGTTGTTGCTCAGTCCACCCGCGCCGGCCAGCCCTCGAAAGCACCCCCATCCTCCATCCATCTCCTCCTTTTCCTCCTCGTCGTTCTCCTACTCCTACTGCCGTTAGAGCTTTTTGGCACCGCACACCGAGATTCGCGGGAGAAATCGCGATACGCGCACTCCGCCCGTTACATAAGCCATACATCATCTCGGGTACATGTACAGGGTGTTGCGAGCAACGTACAGGTCGGTACGACGGGTTGGCCCTGTTGAAAATTTCCAGCCGGATGCTCACCTTGGAAATCCAAGGGAACTCATGTGAATCCATATAGAATATGACAAATCCATACATAGGAATCTACATGGTGTGTGGAAAATTCATATGCGGCAATTCGTACGGATTATTACCTGAGATTTAGGTTTTTCGCGCAAATCCCCAGGGATAGTCACGGGAGATCCCATGTGGATTTCTCGTGTGGATCCCCGCTTGGTTTTATTTCTCAACGGGAAATCATGCACGGTCTTGGTGGCATATTCATTCACACGCTCATATCAAACAGCAGGCAAATGAACATGCCGCCAAAGATTACCGAGTACGGCCACACGAGCTTGCCAGTAGGCAACCCGTCGTACTGACTTGTGTGCTGATGGGACACCCTGTACAGAGTGGTCCACGCAGCCGGTGGGATTTGATTCCGCGAGTTGGGATTCTTCGGACGCTTTTCGCTTGATGCAAATGCTCCTAAGACACTTATTTCACCCTTTTCTCCCTCTTTCCCGGCCGCCGTTTCACGTCGTTTCACGATCGACGAGAGAAACCCGAGACGAGAATCGCTCGGATCCGCTGGAATCCGCGCGATCGCCGGCGAACACGCCTGCCGCGGTTATGAAAGCTACGGAGTCTCGGAGAAGAGAAAGAGAGAGAAAGAGAAATGAAGGCGGCGATGGAGGAGAAAGAGGGGGAGGACGATGAGGACTACAACGTGTCGAGAGGCCGACGTGACGGAGGAAGGGAGCACGAGCCGTTAGAGGGTCACATCGGGGTTGCTGCGATAGCGAAGGTTGAGAGGATGGCCTCCCTCGACGGACGGTCGGGGGCGGCGGTGATGACGGTGGTGGTGGCAGCAACGGAGCGGCCCGGGGAAGAGCGGAACTGGTAAAACAGCACGGCCGTCTCTTACCGCCACGGACATGTGTACACGTTTCCGGGCCTCGCGGCAGCAAAGACGCGGACTCCGAGCGGCATTGTGCCGTCACGTGCGGCCACTCCGCCCCCCCCCC